CCATTCTCCAGCCCATAGATCAGAAGTCATTTCAATTTTCAAGTCTTATTATTTAAGAAATACACTACATAAGGCTGTAGCTGTCATAGATAGTGAGTCCTCTAATGGATCTGGGCAAAGTAAACTGAAAACCTTCTGGAAAGGTCTTATTATTCTGAATGCCATTAAGAACATTCATGATTCATGGAAAGAGGTCAAAATATCAACATTCACGGGAATTTAGAAGTTGATTACAATCCTCATGGATGACTCTTGTATGGTTCAAGACTTTAGTGGAGGAAGTAACTACAGATGTGGTGGAAATACGAAGAGCGCTAGAGTTAGAGCCTGATGATGTGACTGAATTGCTACTATATCATGAGAAAACCACAAAGGATGAGGAGGTGCTTCGTATTACTTATGTAAAGAAAGTGGTTTCTTGAGATGGAATCTAATTTGGGGGAAGGTACTGTGAAGATTGTTGAAATGACAGCAAAGGATTTAAAATATTAAATGGATGCTGAGCTGGATGAATCACAAGCTGGAATCACAATTGCTAGGAGAAATATCAACGTCATATATACAGATGATACCACTCAAAAGACAGAAAGTGAAAAAGAACTAAAGAGCCTCTTGATGAGGATGAAAGAGAGTGAAAAAGCTGGCTTAAACTCAACATTCAGAAAACGAAGATCATGGTATCAGGTCTCATCTCTTCACGGCAACCAGAGGGGGAAGAAGTGGAAACAGTGACAGATTTTCTTTTCCTGGGCTCCAAAATCACTGTGGACAGTGACTGCAGCCATGAAATTAAAAGATCTTGCTCCTTGGAAGGAAAGCTGTGACAAACTTAGACAGCATATTAAAAAGCAGAGACATTACTTTGCCAACAAAGGTCTATATAGTCAAAGCTATGGCTTTTCCAGTAGTCATGTATGAATGTGAGAGCTGGACCATAAAGAAGGCTGATAACCAAAAAATTGATGCTTTTGAACTGTGGAGCTGGAGAAGACTCTCAAGAGTCCATTAGATTGCAAAGAGATCACATCAGTTGATCTTAAAGCAAATCAGTCCTGAATATTCACTGCAAGGACTGAGGCTGAAGCTCCAACAGTGTGGCCACCTGATGCAAAGAGGTGATTCACTGGGAAAGATTCAGGACAGGAGGAGAAGGGGGTGACAGAGATGAGATGGTTGGATGGCATCACCAACTCAATGGACTTGAGTTTGAGCAAACTCTGGGAGAAAGTGACGGACAAGGAAGCCTGGCCTGCTGCAGTCCGTGGGGGTCACAAAGAGTCGGCCACGACTTAGCAACTGAACAAAAACAACAAAAGCAGTGGTAGAGTATTTTTAAATTAAGGTATATATATCATTTTTTTAGAGACAGTGCCACTTATTGCATGTTTAATAGACTATAACATAGTGTAAATATAACTTTCATGTATACTAGGAAACCAAAACATTCTTGTGACTTGCCTTATTATGATGTCACTTTACTGCAGTGGTCTGGAAATGAACCCACAATATCTCTGAGGTATTCCTATACATTTCTAACTATGATAATTCATAATTCAATCTGCTCATCTAACATGATAAAAAATATTAGCTCTAACTTGTCAAATTCCATGAAACAAAGATATATATAAATGTCTATTTTATTGCAGAATCTCATCTTTAGAAGAAGTTCCATAAAAGTGATTAAATTTGTAAGCTCTAATTATGGATTAGCTTTACTTAATTCACTAAATACCTTAGTGATTTTAAAGAAAAATCTTTACATCCCTTTAATTTATTTATTGGCCACACCACACTACTTATGGGATCTTGGTTCCCTGATCAGAGATTGAACCCAGGCCCTTGGCAGTGAAAGCATGGAATTCTAACCACAGGGAATTCCCATACTTAATTCACTAAATACATTAAAAATTTTAAAGAAAAATCTTTGCATCCCTTTTAAATAATCCACACTCCTTCCTAACAGATTAGTACCTACCCCCAAAAAGTGACTTGAAATGAAAATAAATTTGAATTTATTTGAGAATACACACTAACTGCAGGAGTTAACGTAAAATCACTGACAAATTTTTACCTCATTATTTTAAGGTAATGTAGCAGTAATGTCGACATCCAAAAAGCAGACAGACAGGGAGAATGTAAAGAACAGCATAGGTGGAGTTTATGTACCAGGAGTGTAAACAGCACTAATTACTTTGACCCTCATCTTTGTTGACAAGCCCAAGAGAAGAAAGGGGAACTGGGAAACCAGTCATTTGGGACTGGAAATGGGAAACTGGGAAACTTTGCCATTTGGTCACAACTCCAAGAAGGCAAAGGGAATACATAATTACGTGTAGATCTAGCCCTCTCTATCACTCATACTAGCACAGTGGAGGTCTATAAAAACCTTAATTCACAGAAGGTGAACAACATATTTACAATGCTGGCTTACAAAACTAATCTGAAAAAAAAAAAAAGAATCTGCTTTAATGTGGAATACAGTAGTTCTAAAGTTATGGTTAAAGATGAAAAGAACAAATAACTATTTAATCAGCCACCTGCAGAATAGAAAAAGGCCAAAAACTGCATTTCAGAAATGATGCATCACTCTGCAAAAGCTTTGTTTTTACAGACATTCCTCTGGAACTCTGTCAGGCGAACGTTTTTATAGTCTATTTTTTTCTCACACACACTCATGATACACAGCATAAATCAGAGATGGGGCAATAAGGCAACAAACATTCTCTCCGACCAACAGAAGGCATAGCAAAAATTGTCTATTCCTTATATAATTTTTTTTAAAGCCTACATTCCTTATTTTTCATCTTTCTGGGAGATAAAAAGGTAAGAGAGTATTTTGGAATCATACTTCACAAAGTATGATGATTTCTGCTTGGTTTAAACAACAACAATAAACAATGTGTTATTTTGAAAGGGAACCTAGCCCATTTATCCTTACAAAGTTCTATTCCTAAAATCTGGACAATTAATACATGCTGAAACAAGAAAATCAATTAACCTTCAAAATGCTAGGACATTTTTGTTTCTGCTTTAAAAGCTTTGTGGCTCTGGAGGTTAATTAACCTTTCACATTGGGTATTATGGCATTTTCTCCATGAATGAAAATAAAGAAAATGTGATTATCTTCTTCATTACTATATTCCTGAGGGAATACCATGACTTGTGATCTAAAGAAGTTTCAAATTTTTGTATAGCTTTTGAATCAACTAAAGATCATATTATGTAAAAAAATGGTATTGATAATAACCAAAGAAAGCTGTAATTATTAGCAATCCCACCATTTGTCTCAGGGTTGAGGTTTCCTATACCTATATTTTAAGCATGTAGAGTAATGACATTTTTTATACTATCAATGAATATAAATCAAAGATTCAAAGACAATTTTTACAGTTTGAAAAATGTTATCTTTCCTCTGCTGCTCGAAGGCATAATAACATCTTCACATAGCAGATGTAGCACCTCATGTTTCTGATATTGAATATGATCAGGCATTGACTAGTCAAAATCATGTTGGAAAGAACATTCTAGCATGGGAAAAACAGTAAAAGTATATGTAAAGACAGTCACAGAGGGCTTTATTATTTATTTTCCTCTAGTAGTCATGTGCATATCTCGGTCACGGCTGGTAGTTTCCCAAAGGCTCTTTTCTTTCTTCTTTGAACCTATTCTCCTGAGAAAGTAAACTCATTTATTCCACAAGCAATTATTTAACACCTTCAATGTGCAAGTGTCAAACTATGTGCATTGCCTGAGATTAAAGGAAAATAGAGTATGGCTAAAAGTAATACACTATGATTACCAAGGGACTTAATTTTACCCTAACTTTTTACACCAGAACTTTAAACACAGCCATTATTTGGCTATTTTCAAACGTTAATTTGAAAATAAAAGTGAATTTAATTTTTCACGTGCCTCTGAACTCCACTAACAATGGAAGTGTCACGAAGAAAAAATAGCTTAAATTCAGTTGTAAAGAAGGAAACACAAAAGGACTTAATCACACACTAGACAAACACTCCTGAAAATTCAGAATGATTGTTTAGTATAAAGTCTAGATTCAGAACTCTAATCCTTTTGAGTTACAAACCTTTGTGATATACAGCTTCTGACAAGGCTCCCAAAAATTCCCACCTCTTGGTATCCACAACTATATTTCATGCCCACTATGGCCCAGGTGGCAAGCAACCAAGGGAGGGCTTTGCTAATAGCTCATGCAGAAACAGTGGCCCCAGTCGAACAACGCACAAGGAACTGAACCCCGCGTCAATCACATGAGATAGGAAGCAAATCCTCCCGAGTCTAACTTTGAAATAACTGCAGCCTTAAGAGAAACTCAGCCAGAAGACTCAGCTAAATGGTACCCAGATTCCTGATCCACAGAACTATAACATGATAAATGTGTACTGTTTCAAGCTGCCATGTCTTGGAATAATTTGTTATACAGCAATAGATACCTAACAAGCCTATCTGAAGAAAAGTATATACATGTGCTACTTCTGGCACACATTTTAGAGAAACAAGAGGCCTCTCTAAAGTCCACCAACTGAACTCCTGGTGGCCCAGAAATCCTTGACTAAGAAACTTCTGCTATGATAAACTCCAAACAATATGTACCAAAGGCCTGTATAAAATTTAACCATGCTGTGTAGCTTAACACATGTCAGAATACTTTCCTTCCATAAGGTAGCATTAAGGAAGTTAAATTACTCTAAATATAACTATTATCTTAGTATTAACATTATCAAAGGTAAAAACAAGTCAGATTATACTAAAACATTACTTTAAATAACGTATTTCATAGTACTAAATAAGTACTGAGGGTAAAAAAATGACTAAACACCATCCTTAAGTACTGTGTGAGACAAACACACACAAAAAATAATTATAAGTTGTTCTGGGAATCAAACAGAAATTTGCAGATGGTATTCATTCATGTATGTAATACACATGACATAGTATGTATGACTTTATTAAATTTTAATTACAAAGTAAGTAAATACCTGTACAGTTTTTCCAAGTCCCATGTCATCACCAAGAATACAGCCTCTTCCTCGGATGAAGTGTCCATGGAGAAACTGGGCTCCCTCCCTTTGGTAGTCTCGCAAATACCTATTGATAGTATAAGGAATAGAGTCTCCATTTTCAGATAGTTGAAAAGGAATAGCTGATGATGGAAATTTTCGGTCTGGGAAATAAGGTTTTTCCAAATCTTCATCATCAAATATAAAATTCTTGGAGCAATCTTTAACAGATTTTACTTCTTGAAGTCTTTTAAGAGATACTCTCCTTTCTTGAAAATCTGAATATAAGATGACTGCAAATGACTTCCCATTTTCATCCACTGTGATAGATTTTATGCTTGCTTCACAAAGTTTTTCATTATCTGGAGAAGGGGCAAGACATCTTTCTCCTGGATGCCATATATCTGTAATGATAAAGGAGAAAATAAACTTTCCAAATCTAACTTTTAAAGTAACACCTCATTTATCTACTTCTATGAGAAAAAAATATTCCTCACATAAATACCCTTCCCAAAATCTGAAACAAGACAAATTATACTTATAGATATTTTCCTAAAGTATATTATCATAATAAAGGGTATATAATTTATTTCCAGTTTTTCTCACTCTGACTATGTGTCATAATCTCCCCATACATGCTTAGTCTATTTGTTCTGATTAGGTGGATATGGGTCATGGGCATTTGGTTTTATTATTGTGGTTGGTTATTATTGTTGAATTCAAAAGGTGATTCTGATGCACAGCCAGGATTAAGAACCACTTAGTTAAATATTCATGATGACTCATAAACTTTATGTATAACATTCATAATACGGCAGAATGACTGTGAATAGGATTTGGTAATAGGTAAGCTAAAATCCTCTGAACAGCTATATTTTTGTGATTCTTCTGTCTGCTTTCTTAGTTATCCCATCTCCTTTTTCTGAACAAAGCTATTTCTTCTCACTGTCAATACTGCTGTTTCTAAAACATTCCTTGAATTTGTATATAACTAATCAAGGGAATCTCCAGTTCAACAGCAGAGTGACATGTATCAGCTTTGTCACAGCTTTTTCCATTCAAGGTTTTGAAAAGCTGAGATTCTTAAAAACGAGATGAATTCTAAGATCTCTTTCTGCTATCATTTCATTATTCTTTGAAAAGTCTGACTTCTCTCTATGATGAATTCATTCTGTGCTTAACTATACAGCTATTTTATTTTCTATTCAGAAAATACAGTACTATGGAGTGGGGAGAGAAGACTCTACAGAGTATAATATTGGTACAATTAAAAGGTAACAAATAGAGGAAATTAAGTAAAAATAATTTTCCTAATGGAATTTCATATAACAAGAATTCCAGAGGAATTGCATGGCTACAATTGTAAGAATACTAGGAATTATTTTTTTCACATATTTCTCACAGAGATCATATATGATCATTGGTAGCTTCCCAGGGTCTTTCTAATGATTCTGAATTAGGGTTTTATAACATTCATGATTATAACTAGTATGTCTATATTCTCTTCAGTAAGAATAGCTCATGATGCTATTCCTCATCAGTTGTTCAAAAGTAAAACTATTATTGTTACTTTGATAAAGTTGTTTTTATATAACAATCAGAATCACAGTGAAAAAAATCTGTTCTCTCATTATAATTTTGCTTTCAAACTGTTTGAGAATTATTACACTCTTCTAAAAATGTTCTCATGTGAAAATAACTCTCTGATTCACTTACGGAGATAAGTCAATGGGCCCTATTTTCATAATAGTACTGTTTGAACCTTAAAACCTATATTAAGCCTTAAGGTAAGTCTTAACACGTTACTTGTTTCATATGATTTGTCTGCCTATCCAGCATATGCCTTTTAATTTTTTAGAGCTTTAATTCATTAACTTATTTATCAATGTATATGATTTAATACCAGTTATTCGCCAGATACTGTACCACACTATGAGTATAAAAATGAAGAACAATGTCAAAAATGATAGTCATTAAACCTTGCTCGAAACTAGCCTTTCCCAATTTCATTAAAAGGAATCACTATCTAGCCAACTTTTCAAGGCAGAAAACCTTTAGTCAGTCCTTATTCCTCTTTTGATATTACTCCCTACATTCAATCCATCAGAATGCCCTGGTGGTTCTACTTCAAAAAAAAAAAAAAGCATCACTTTCCTCCACGCCACCAACTCTTCAAAATAACTATTGGCAAACTTTCTGTAGAGTCAGATTTTAGCTATTTATTATTCTAGATTTTGCAGGTTATACTGTCGATTGCCTCTGTAACACAAAAGTAGCTACAGACACATAATCAAATGGATATGGCTGTGCTCCAATAAAACTTTATCTACAAAAAAAACTGTCAGGTTGAATTTGGTCCTGACTGTAATGTGCCATGGGTTTGGGTAGACTCTGGGAGTTGGTGATGGGCAGGGAGGTCTGGCATGCTGTGGTTCATGGGGTCGCAAAGAGTTGGACACGACTGAGCAACTGAACTGAACTGAACTGTCATGTGCCAACATCTGGCTTTCTCCTAAATTGCTGCTATAGACTCCATTCTCTACCCATTCTCTCCACTGACATTATCTACCCCCTACAATTCATTTTCCACATATCGACTACTTAAAAATATTTATTAGTAAATCTTTAATTTAAAATCTTTTAATAATTACCCACTGCAAAAAGGATAAACACCAAGCTCCTTACTATGATCTACGTGACCCTGTATCATTTTCCCCTACTTACCTCTCCAACTTAAAATCTATCAATATTCCCCTTGACTCAAGCATTCTAGATGGGTCTTCTCTCACTGTTATGTCATTGCCTCATAGATTTTGTTTCTGATCACCTTATTTAAAGTACCCCACTATACTGTAGGGAACCCCACTATTCTGTACCTCAGTATTTTACTGCCTATACAGCACATATCACAATGTTTAATTATCATGTTTACTTTTTAAAAATCTGCCTCTCTCACTAGAGAACAGCATCTTTTCCACGAAAATGTCTGTATTGTTCAAAATCTTATCCCCAGGGCCAGCACACAATAGGCACTCAATAAATGTGCTGAAGATATTAACAAAAACACATTCTGAATCTCAAAGAACCTTGATATCTAGCGAGAGAGACAAATAAAAAGTTCACACATGTGAAATTGTTGCTTTAAGAGTGCTATAAGAAAGAGGGACTAAAGAAACAGAATAAAAAGGAAGGAAATCTAAGAAAAGAATGTCAGTCAGGGGGGTACATACAGCGGGTGCAAAAACCTCATGGGCTTCATACAACAATCTATAGAAATCTATTAATATTTGGTTTCTGAGTTTGGGTAACTTCTAGAACTAAAGAGATTCAGTTAAGTTTGATCCAGGGCAGTGTTTCTCAGCATTCAAAGTCCAGAACAAATCGTTTAAATCAGGACAATTTTCTTTTGGACTGAATGGGGGGTAAGGCTCCTTATGATCTGGTCCCTGTGTCCTCTTTACCTTCATTTCCTCCCTTTTTCCTGATTTCATCCCAAACTTGCCTTCTAGCTGTTCTTCAACCATGACCAGCATACTCCCATCTTTGGTCTCTGAGATTTCTGTTCCTTCTACCAGCCCTCTCCCTAAATCCCAATGTGACTGATGCTTCCACTTCATTCAGGGTTCTGCTCAAATGGCTTCTCCTCAGAGGTATCTTCTCTGATCACTCAATCTAACACAGCACTCCCTGCCATTTTCTCTTCCTTTACCCTGCTTGATTCCATTTTCAGAGAAAAATTTGAAATATCTGTTATTGGTTATCTCCTTAAGTTCCCCAGAGTAGAGACAATTTGTGTTCACTGCCATATTCTGGACACTGAGGGCAATGTTGAAACTCAAATACTTGTCAGATTAACAAATATTTGTATAGAGCTAACACTTTGAGGTTTATGAGTGCCATACATGCAATTTATACATAGTAGTTCATTTAAGCCTTACAACAACCCGTTCACTACTTCATGTAAATACTATTATTATTTCCCTTTTATAAATGGTGAAACAAATAAAGGTTAACCACAGTCACACAGCTAGAAAGTGTCAGAGCCTGGATGTGAATCAAGCTATCTGAACATGCTGTACCAGTACACACATGAATGAACAATTCCTTGGAACTAAGTAGTCCTCAGTTCAATTCAGTTGCTCAGATTCTTTGTGACCCATGGACTGTAGCACACCAGGCTTCCCTGTCCATCACCAACTCCCAGAGCTTACTCAAACTTATGTCCATCAAGTCAGTGATGCCATCCAACCATCTCATCCTCTGTCATCCCCTTTTCCTCCTGCCTTCCACCTTTCCCAGCATCAGGGTCTCTTCCAATGAGTCAGTTCTTCACATCACGGGGCCAAAGTATGAGTAGCCCTGCCCCCTTTTAAATGAGATATGAACATCCCAGTTACTATAATCCCCACTCAGCAGCTTCATCTACTTATTTTACCTACCAGGTTTCTAAAGGTATTTGTATTTGTGGTCTGTGAGTGATAGTGTCATCAATTCTAGTCTTCAGAGCTGAGGCTTGTTACTTATAAATCTCTGAAGTTTGGTTCTATATTCCTCATCTATTTAATCAGATCAATATCTTCCTCAAAAGAAAACATGTAAACAATCAGCATATTTCTAGGCACAGAACAAGTATTCAATATCTGTAAATTTTTGTTGCATCACTATTAATAATGAAAACTATTAATTTGGGGGCAAGAGGACATCCCAGATGACTTGTGGCAGATAACCATGTTCTCCCTAAACGACTCTTGGTGACCCATTAAAGGTGACCCTGACTCAATACATCACATATATATAAAGCTCCTTGTGTAATAAACTGAACTAATCTCAATCTATATTCATCTACTTAATAATGAACCTACCATTCACTAAGGACTGAGGCATACAATAGAGAATAAAAATACCAAACATTTACTTAGTGTTTACTATAAGCCAGACACTGGGTCACGTTAAGTGCTTTGGATGATACCATCTCAATTAATAGTCAAAAGAATTAAATCAGCAATCATCTCAATTTTACAGATGAGCAAACTACCCAAACTTGCTCAGCAAATGACTGTCAGAGTCAGCACTAGATCCAAGGGCAGTCTGACTTCAGAATTTCTCAACATCGAATCACAAAGAACTAGTCCCAGCTCTAGAGGGGGTACACTATCTCCAGCTGTCACTCACAGAGGCCACCGGGTAAAACCCCGACCCCAAGGGAACTGGCATGAACAGGTCCAATCCTACACAGTCAAGACAGGTGTCTGGGCAGAGAGGCGAGCTCGGAGCTTATACCTTTGCTGTTGGTTTCCGCGCGGGGCTTCGGGGCAGACTGATCCATCTGGCCAGGGGGAAGGGCTTGGCAGCCAGGTTGCGTTTAACACCCCACAGGCGGCAGAGGACCGCCAGGAGGAGGCGGGCAAGCGGAGGGTGACAAACTCCACCTTCCGCCACCCTCCGTACATCGCCCTCCCCTGGTGCTCGACGTCACGGCACGGAGGGAGCAAAGGTGGAGCCTGATGGGGCCCAGGGAGAAGGGACGGTGGCCTCTGCGACAGCGGCAGAGCCGGAGGACGCTACGGAAGCTGGCAAGGCAGCGCTCACCTACTAGCCTGGAGCTCCGCCGGCGGGGAAAGACAACAGGCTGGCTACTCGACCCTTTGCCCTCCCTCTCACTGTTAGGCCTCCCTCTGCAGCCCAGCGTAGCTTCCAACCCGAACTCGGAAAATCCCGCGAGAACTGGCTCCGCTACAGTCCTCGGGATCTCACGATAACAAAATCTTCCGGCCGTCTTTCCTCTAGAAAGCGTGCAACACAAAGATCCGCGATAGTTGAAAGTAGCGCGGTGTTTGGTGTCGCTTGCCCGCCTTGTGCGGGTGTTGTGGTTGCAGAGAGAGGCTGGAAGGTGGCCGTGCGCGTGGACCTGCTGAGGGTCTTTTGAGGACTGGTAAGAAAGGTGACAGCCTAGCTGGAGACCATCGTCCCCGCGCTCCTTTGTCCATGGGATTCTCTAGGCAAGAATACTGGAGTGGGTTGCCATGTCCTCCTCCAGGGGATCCATAGTCACGTCTGCCTCTAAGTGCAGCTGGGAAAGATTATTTGGTTTTAAGGGCTCACATGACAAAATTGGGTCCTCCAGTAATCCTCTTCCCTTATCAAGATCTATACCCTCAGGCAAGTCAATAAGATCCCTTTGCCATATAAAATAACATATTCATGGGTTCTAAGGATTAAGATTGAACATCTTTGGAGATCATTATTCTGCCTACCCCAGTGTCTTAATGAGGAAAACTATGGCTGTTTCCTCTGCAAACAGATATCTATTTTTGACAGATACTAAAAATTAGCATGTTTTCATAAAATGCTTCATCTAGAATAGCACTTGTTTCTGTTTACCAGCAGGTAGAAATTTTGTATTGAAGAGAAACATCTAATTCATCCACTAACTATGTGTTACATGTTGGCCCTCACACATGATTCAGAGATTAGACATTTATCCTCACTGCTTCAAAGTCTTCACCTTTGACAGACTCATAATAGTGATCTACCTAAAAAGGATTATTATAATAATTAAAATAAATACAACACCTAAAACAATACCTATGCATTGTAAGAATTTAGTAAGGAATAGTATTGCAATATACTGTTGTTATCGATGGAATTCGTCCACTTGAAAGTTGCATTCTGCATAGCAATTGCTTCAGTTTAATATTTTGGCCAATAGTTGATAATGCATTATTACTTAGAATTTTAGACTAGATTCTAACTTAAACAGCACAGATTGTAAGATATTTTCTAGGTACAGCTGAACAAAACTTACTAGTTTCATTACATGCATCTTGATATTAGAAATTTTAAAATGTAGAAAAAAAATCTTCTTGGACTTGATGAAATATATCAGAATTACTTAAATTCTGTAAATTTTGTCCCTAAAATCAATAGCAATTGGAAATTCCTATCTGCTTTTTTTTTTTTTTTTTTGTCCTACAACTATTAGAGAAGACATTTGATTTTTCCCTCAACTGTAACGGAGAAGGCAATGGCAACCCACTCCAGTATTCTTGCCTGGAAAATCCCATGGACCGAGGAGCCTGATAGGCTGCAGTCCATGGGGTCACTAAGAGTCGGACATGACTGAGCGACTTCACTTTCACTTTTCACTTTCATGCATTGGAGAAGGAAATGGCAACCCACTCCAGTATTCTTGCCTGGAGAATCCCAGGAACGGGGGAGCCTGGTGGGCTGCCATCTCTGGGGTTGCACAGAGTTGGACACGACTGAAGCGACTTAGCAGCAGCAGCAGCTCCACTGTAATATCATATTTTTCCAGAGGTCCACTGATTTAACAAAAATTTTAGAAATATTGATTTAAATGAAAGGGATCATCTGGTGGATGGAATACTCTTGTGACTAACGGAAGCAGTTGTTTTTGTTGTGCAGTCGCCCAGTCATGTCTGGCTCTTTGCAACCCCATGGACTGTAGTATGCCAGGCCTCCCTGTCCCTCACCAACGGAAGCAGAGGGAACCTCAATTTCTGAGCATTTCTTATTTAATCTCACCACCATTGTTATGATACATGGAAGAAGTAGAAATAATCAGGACATAAAAATATGTTTTAGTGAATTAGATGCCTCACAAAATTAGATATCCTCAAACATTCCTTCCCCCATTTAACAATAGTTTTTGTCTCAGCTCATTACAATGATGTCTTTGTCTAGGTGCTAATATTGTAAACATCCAACACTATAATAGTACACTGCAAAGTGAAATTGAAAGACTTGCAAAATATTCAGGAATTCCTTAAGTCAATATAAATGATATTGGATAGCTACATCAAACATAAAACTGTTGGCAAGGTAGTATCTAGCAAAATTAAGCATGTAAAAACTACAAAAAGAAAAAACAGATGATGGTAGCATAGACATTTCAAAAGAATATTACTTGACTATCAAAGAGACCCTTGAGAAAGATGATTAAACCTTTTAATCTTTTACAAAAAAGTAGTCTTTCTTTATGTTTCCACTGCAGAAGTCAAAATTGTGACCTCTAAATTGTGAGTTAATCCAGCAAAAAGGCTCAAGAAAAAAAATAGGTATATGTTTTAGTCCATTTTGGTTGCTACGACAAAATTCTACAAACTAGATAGCTTAATTTCTCACAGTTCTGGAGGCAGGGAAGTCCAAGATCAAGGTGTCAGCATGGTTCTATTCTGGTGAAGGCCCCCTTTCATTCATAGCTGGCCCCTTCTTGCTGTGTCCTCACATGGTGGAATGGACTAAAGAGCTCTGTGGTATCTCTTTTTCAAGAGCACTAATCCTATTAGTGAGAACTCCATCTCATGACCCTCTCATCTCCCAAAGACCTCACACTGGGCATTAGAATTTCACATATGAATTTTGAAGGGACACATATTCAGACTATAGCAATATGAAAATATAAGAAAATGCAAGAAATTGAGCCTCAAGAGTTTTAGTTAGTTGATTTTATATAGTAGCATTTCTCCTCTGATAAAATTTTCCAGTCATTTTATCAAAGGGAAAAAAGGAAGAAGAGCTGACAACAAAGTAGAGATGGTAGAAATAGATGTGCCTTCTTTGCCAAGTCAGTCAGTTCAATCGCTCAGTTGTGTCCCACTCTTTGCAGTCCCATGGACTGCAGCACGCCAGACCTCCCTGTCCATTACCAACTCCCGGAGTTTACTAAACTCATATCCATTGAGTCAGTGATGCCATCCAACCATCTTATCCTCTGTCGTCCCCTTCTCCTCCTTTCTTCAATCTTTCCCATCATCTAGGTCTTTTCCAGTGAGTCAGCTCTTCGCATCAGGTGGCCAAAGTATTGGAGTTTCAGCTTCAGCATCAGTCCTTCCAATGAACATTCAGGACTGATTTCCTTTAGGATGGGCTGGTTTGATCTCTTTGCACTCCAAGAGACTCTCAAAAGTCTTTTCCAACAACACAGTTAAGCATCAATTCTTCAGCACTCAGCTTTCTTTATAGTCCAACTCTCACATCCATATATCACTACTGAAAAAAACAGCCTTGACTAGACCGACCGTTGTTGGCAAAGTAGTGTCTCTGCTTTTTAATATGCTGTCTAGGTTGGCCATAAGTTTCCTTCCAAGGAGTAAGCGTCTTTTAATTTCATGGCTACAGTCACCATCTGCAGTGATTCTGGAGCCCCCCAAAAAATAAAGTCTGCCACTGTTTCCACTGTTTCCCCATCTATTTGCCATGAAGTCATGGGACCGGATGCCATGAACTTTGTTTTCTTAATGTTGAGCTTTAAGCCAACTTTTTCACTCTCCTCTTTCACTTTCATCAAGAGGCTCTTTAGTTCCTCTTCACTTTCTGCCATAAGGGTGGTGTCATCTGCATATCTCAGGTTATTGATATTTTTCTCTCAGCAATCTTGATTCCAGCTTGTGCTTCCTCCAGCCCAGCATTTCTCATGATGCTGCATATAATTTAAATAAGCACAATGACAGTATACAGCCTTAACATACTCCTTTTCCTATTTGGAACAAGTCTGTTTTCCCATGTCTGGTTCTAACTGTTGCTTCCTGACTTGCATACAGGTTTCTCAAGAGGCAGGTCAGGTGGTCTGCTATTCCCATCTCTTTCAGAATTTTCCACAGTTTATTGTGATCCACACAGTCAAAAGCTTTGGCATAGTAAATAAAGCAGAACTAGATGTTCTTCGGGAACTCTTTTGCTTTTGCGATGATCCAGCAGATGTTAGCAATTTGATCTCTGGTTCCTCTGCCTTTTCTAAAGCCAGCTTGAACATTTGGAAGTTCACAGTTCACGTATTGTTGAAGCCTGGCTTGTAGAATTTTGAGCATCACTTTACTAGCGTGTGAGATGAGTGCAATTGTGTGGTAGTCTGAGCATTCTTTGGCATTGCCTTTCTTTGGTATTGGAATGAAAACTGACCTTTTCCAGTCCTGTGGCCACTGCTGAGTTTCCACATTTGCTGGCATATTGAGTGCAGCACTTTCACAGCATCATCTTTCAGGATTTAAAATAGCTCAACTGGAATTCCATCACCTCCACTAGCTTTGTTTGTAGTGATGCTTCCTAAGACCCACTTGACTTCACATTCCAGGGTGTCTGGCTCTAGCTGAGTGATCACACCATCATGATTATCTCAGTCGTGAAGATCTTTTTTGTACAGTTCTTCTGTGTATTCTTGCCACCTCTTCTTAATATCTTCTGCTTCTGTTAGGTCCATACCATTTCTGTCCTTTATTGTGCCCATCTTTGCATGAAAAGTTCCCTTGGTATCTCTAATTTTCTTGAAGAGATCTCTAGCTTTCCCATCTTATTGTTTTTGTCTGT